TGCAAGACCACTAAACTTGGGAAACAAGTGTATTAAACCCGATTTTAATTCAAAAGGAACAACAACATCATCATATTCAATACACATGCCATTATAACTCACATCAGGGGCGGCCAATTGCCTTAAGGTTCTTTGGTCATCCATATTAAAAACAAATTCAGAATCTGAAGCAAACAAGTTATGCAAATAGTCAGACTCAGAATCAGACTCAATTGTGGGGGGTGAACTAGTGGTAGCCTGGACTTTTCTACATCGTGTGTGCAAGGTTCTCTCTACTTCAGGATCAAAAGTAACAAGTTCAGAACAACAAGACCTAATAGCCAGGACTAATACACAGCAATGCAGCAACAATACTCAAAATGCCAACAATGTCCCTAATAATAAAAAACAAACACAATGAAGGAAATCGATTAAATAATATTCAGAAAAATAAAGTAACACCAGATTTAATCTAATTAGGAAAAATAACAATTTTGAGAATTTTTTCGATTTTTTCGACTCTATGAAAACAGTAAAAATTCGTTAAAAATAGAAAGAAAAAAAGATGAATTTGGAAATTTGAAAGCAAAGTCTCGTAACTACTTTGTAGTACGGGATAAATGAACAGAGAATTTTTTCGCAAAGGATGCCCGGAACAGATGTCGATTCGGACGCAATTTTCCCAAAAAAATGGTTTTTTTTTCTTCCCTTTTTTTACTCTAAAACGCGAATTGGACGAAACCGTGAGGAAACTAAGGCCTAGACTAGAGGACACTAACCCTATGACTCTAAAAACCATTAATAAAAACAAGAGTTCCCGGCAACGACGCAAATTTGATCCGCTTCGCGCACGGATAAAAAATGAGTTATTTTAAAACGTAGTACAACGACAGTGTGACTCGAATCGTCTCACAAGGATTCTTGTTTGTATCAATACAACGTAACCTAATTGGGGGTTTGGATTTAGGATCGAGTTGTAAAAAAACAGAAAATAAGTGCTTAAAATAAGTGATTATGGAAATAAGTTAATATGTTGTTTCGATTTCTATCTATCATCGATTACTATAATCTCATTGTCCTAAGCGGAATCTATTCATATTCGATCATAAATCAATCAACAAGCGCGAAAGAATTTATAAGAATTATATTTCCTTTTCACGGAATTAAGCAAATGGTTAAGCAATAGCGAAATAACGAATTAAGCAAACGATATAACGCAATCAAGTTTGGGGAAACACAAATCAACCGAACTAATAAAACTACTCTATGATAATTCGGATTAAGCAAACGAATAACACAAAATAGGATTGATATGAATAGAAATTGAATTGCAAAATTATATTAATCTCAAGTTTCGTAACCAAAATTACAGGAGATCAACTCCGATGAATTAGTTCTCCATGGAATTTCGTACAGAGCAAAAGTTTTTTTCGTTCCAATTGTCTCAAATGTCTCAATGAACCGTCCCCATGTACTCGGTGTAAACGAAATTAAATAGTTCGGGTCATAATCCAATTGGGTCAAATACATAACTCATGTCAAACACTAACGACCCAAAAATAAAACTAATGCTGCAACTTCAACGTAACTTTCATGTCTTATACAGACCGAATCAGTTTCTGACTTATTCATAAAAGTTGTAGCTCTTTCTCTTAGCTTTCCAAGAAGTACTAGAACGCCTTGATCTGACTCTCATAGCTTAAGTTATGAATTTATTCGTGAAAGCTTCTAAAGCTGAAAATTAAATACGAAAATCAAATAAGTGCAAAAATAAAATAAATTAGAAAAATATATTAAAACATAAAAATAAATAAAATAAACCATGGAAATGCCTAAGTACAAACATAGAGGATTGTACATCAAAATAAGGATAGGCAAAAGCTGAAAGGGTGTTTCAAGTTTATCAATAAGGTGATAGATATGGTTGATTACAAGAATGAGGTTTCTAATAGCTGGAGGAGAGCCACAACTGGTAATCCTAGTAAGGCTTTATGGCACAAGTTAATGAGGCTGCAACCGGTGATTAGGAATCTTAGCAAGCCCCTGATGGGAATCAAGCAGCAGATTGAGAAAACGCGAAAAGATCTTAGTGAGACCTAGCAGAATTTGAAAGTTGTTAGGATGAATAAAAAAACTGATCATGTAGGAGAAGATGGAAAATGAGAAATTACTGCATCTGAATAAAATTGATGAGCAGATTATGAGGCAGCGTACCAAGATTGATTGGATCAAACTTAGTGATAGAAATAACTCCTTCTTCCATGCTAGTCTCAAGAGTAATCAGAAGCATAAGATGATCACTAGGCTATATAGAGATGATGGTACGATGATTGTTAATCAATATGATATTGAAAATGAGGTGTTAAGGTTTTATGGGGGCCTTATGGGTAATGCCAAGCAACTAGTGAGGGGGTTGATATTAGAGCTCTTAGAAGAGGTAGTCAATTAATTATGGAGCAAAGGGCTAAATTGGTTCAACCAGTGATTGTTAGTGAAATTGAAGCAGCTCATAAGAGCATTGGTGATCTTAAAGCTCCGGGAGTAGATGGCTTTGGTGCTAAATTCTTCAAACATACTTGGAACATTGTTAAAAATGATGTAACTAATGTGGTGCTGGATTTTTTCAACAAGGGGATTATGGATAGGAGATTTAACAGAACTTTGGTCACCTTGATTCCCAAACATGAGCATGCTAGAACTATAAAAGGATTATAGGCCCATATCTTGTTATACTATTGTGTACAAACTTATCTCCAAAGTGATGGCAAATAGAATGGGTGAAATTTTGAAATACATCATCAGTAGAAACCAGGCTGCTTTTATACCAGAGCAGAATATTCATGATCATGTGTTACTAGCTTATGAGCTTGTTAAAGGGTACAATAGGAAAAGGGGTATACCTAGATGCATGTTACAAATGGATATTCAAAAAGCGTATGATTGAGTGGATTGGCAAGCTATGAAAACCATCTTAGATGAGGTTGGTTTCCCTAGAAAGTTGACTGGTTGGATTATGGTTGCTATTAAGACTGTCAGTTATCAGTTCAACATTAATGGAAGATATTCTAAGGAGATGGAAGTTAAGAGGGTTCTTAGGCAAGGGGATCAAATCTCCCATGTGCTTTTTGTCATTGTTATGGAGTATCTCCATAGAAAACTTGATAACCTTCATATGATTCCGAATTTTAACTGTCATAGCAAATGTGAAAAGCTTAACATTATGGATCTTAGTTTTGCAGATGACATGTTGTTATTCTCCAGGGGATATGTGATCTCTGTTAAGCTGCTAATGGACAGATTTAATGCTTTATCCAAGTCCAGGTGGCTATATGTGAACTCGGAGAAATGTAAACTCTATTGTGGTGGCATTGACATTGATATGGAGAAACATTTAAATGATATCACTTGTTTTGCATCTGGTTGTCTCCCTTTCAGGTACCTAGGGATCCCCCTGCAAAGTAAAAAGCTCACTAATAACCAATGCATTAGTTTGGTGGAGAGGATTGGTTGTAGGATTAAGAACGGGAGTACTCACCTACTCAGTTATGCAGGACGTATCCAGTTGATAAATAGTGTGATATGCAACACCACTAACTATTGGCTTCAGTGTATTCTTGTTTCTAAACGAGTCATAAAGAGGATTGAAGCTTTGTGCAGGACCTTCTTATGGACTGGAAAAGGCATAGTGACTAGAAAGTCTCTTGTTGTGTGGATCAAGGTTTGTCAACAAAAATGTCAAGGTGGGTTAAATATTTTGGACATGGCAAAGTGGAACAAAGCGTGTCTCATGAAATTACTTTGAAATCTGAGCAAGAAAGCTGATAACTTGTGGGTCCAATGGGTCCACACTTACTATGTGAAAGAAGACCAAATGATGAACGTTCACATCAAGGCTTCTTGTTCTTGGATATTAAAAAATATCCTTAATAGGATGAGTGACATTGTTGGTATGAATCAGTGGCAAAAGATGAGTATTGTTGTAAATATAAGACCAAAAAGATTTACTATGGCCTTATAGATCAAAACCAGAAGGTTTCTTGGAGAAAGATCTTGTATGATTCAGAAGCTTCGCCTAGAGCCCTTTTCATTCTTTGGCTAGCGTGTCACAAGAGATTAGCTACTAAAGATCGTCTCATAAAGTTTGGTATGTTAACAGATGATAAGTGTGAGTTCTGCCAAGGAAAGGAAAATCTGCAACATTTGATTTTTGTTTATAAGGATATGAATATGATTTAGAAAGATGTTTTGCAATGGCTAAACATTCTGCGTGACCCTCAAAACCAGGACCAGGAGGTTCCTTGGATACTTTAGACTAGTAGGCATAAAAGTCGGCGTACAAGGTTCATAAAGACTACGTTTGTTGAGACGGATTATGCTTGCAGGATATACATAAATATGAAAGTATATAGAGAGAAATATAGTCAAATAGATAATACATGTATAGAAAAAACAATTATAGAAAGAATTGTTCATAAGTGCCGGAGAAAGAAGAAGTTAAATGAACATGTTCCTTTATCAAGCATGTAAATGGTCTTTGTTTGTCTTAGTGTTTTTAGTTTCTTGAGCTAGACCTTACGGATAGCTATAAATAGTCTTTTAGTCTCTGTAAATTGATGAGTTTTTTATTTTAGTCTTTATTTTTATTTTTTTAAATGATCTCTGAATGTTAAAAAAAAATTATTTTAGTCTTTAAAATTAAAATCTACAGAAAACCTATGAATTTTCATTTAAAAACTAAAACCAAATGAAATTTAATATTCAAAGACTTTATCCAAAAAAAAAAATACAAAAACGAAAATAAAAAATCCGCAAATTTACGGAAATTAAAAGACTCTTTAAGTCTATTATTCAATTCATATGTGTTTGGTCAAGATAACTTATATTTTGAGACACAACGAGTAAATAAATAAACGAAAAAAGAAAAGAAAAAACCACTTTTTTGTGTATAAAATGAGACACAACTCTCCTTTGTTTATAATCATATCATTCCTACAACAACAATTGACAAAGCATAGTTAAATATGGCATCTTCATTACAAAACTATGTTCTTGTTCTCTTACTCATAGCCATAATTCAATTCAAAACTACCTCTTCTCACCATCACCACCATCACCTAAAATCCCTTCACTTTTCACTATACCAACACGAAACAATAAACAAAACAGGTTACATCATAGTGAACGGTATACCACAATCTGCTGGAGTCACCGAAACAACAACACCTTTTGGAACATTATTTGTGTTTCAAGATCCTTTAACTCTAACCTCAAAGAGATCCTCCAAACTAGTTGGAATTGCTGAAGGTACTTCTATCACCTCGAGTTTCGACGGGCTTCGAAGCATTTCGATTGCAAAACTAACTGTTCGTTGGAAAGATTATAAGGGTTCCGTTTCTATTGTTGGTGGGACAAACAATGTTAAGGCTTCGGATCATCCTATTGTTGGAGGAACAGAAGATTTCATGTTTGTGCAAGGATATGTTACCTCTTCACCTGTTGATCTTACTGGTATTACTGTTGTTTATAAGATTGAGTTTCATATTTATTGGCCTCCATATGCAACTCAATCTTCATGAGCTTGTGGACACATAATAAGTTCCAATACTTTATGTTTTTATTTTAGGAATAAAGGTTAAAATATAAACCCAAAAAAATATGGAGAATTATTTGATAATTGAAAATAAATATTATTAATTTAGTTGTTTGAGTTATTTGATTATTAAATTGATATATTTTAAACTTAAATAATTTTTTGATTTTTATAAGTTAACGTATTTTTGATATTTTTGTATTTTATTTTTCTTAGAAATCATTCTTAAATATTAAAAATTATTTTGATTTTAATTCTTAAAATTAAAATCTGCAAGACAATTTAAAGAAAATCCGCAGAAAAACTGTATTTTTTTTTTGTAGATTTTATTTTTTAGAGATTAAAAATAAAATAATTTTAACATTCAGGAATCATTTAAAAAAATAAAATACAAAGAAGATAATTTAAAGAAAAATCTCCATAAAATCTACAGATTTTTTATAGATTTTAATTTTAGAAACTAAAAATAAAAGAATTTTAATATTTAAAAAATTATTTCAAAAAATAAAATACAAAAACAAAAATAAAAAATACGTCAATTTATGAGAACTAGAAGATTATTTAAGTCTATACCTTATATATTTCAATAATAAATAAATTCCTTAACTTTTCTTATGCACCTACCAGCTTGGAAGTTTTTAATTATATTATTTTCAATTGAACTCTGTTTTATGGTGTTGGTGTGAATTTCTTCCGGTTAGTTACCCATTTGTATTTTGTTTCTTTATTGTTTATTTTCTAAAGACAAATAGTAATATATTATAATTAGGAGAAAGAATCACTAAAACTAAAGTAAAATAAAAATAGTAAAATAGTCGCATCGTGTAAGAATTGATAAAAGATTTAAAAAAAAGAAGACAAAACCTACCTCGAAATCGAGAGTACTTCGAAACCATGATTAACCCTCCATCTATTATAAGTGCAAGTAGAATAGAGTGTTAAAGACAAAGCCATTTATAAGAGTTGACCTCTAATTCATCTAAAAAGTTTAATCACCCTTATAATTAATTATATTCCTTTAATTTTTTTTCTTCAAAACAACGCCTTAAAATAATTAGAAATAAGTATCTATCATCCAACCAGTTGAAAATTGTATACCACATAATCAAAACTAGTTCACAAATAATAAAGAAAAAGTTACACGGGAGACAAAAGAGCAGGGGGCGGAGCCACACAGTGAGCTGGGAATGCAAATGAATCCCATTTTTAAATGTTTTGAACCCCAAGGAAATTAGGTGCTGCATCACTTTTGGATTTAATGACGCACTCCTCTCTCATACATTAATGCATTGCACCTCTTTAGTATATTTAATGAGGTGGACTTCTCTCATAAACTAATGATGTGCCGATTAAAGAACATACAAATATTATTAAATTCTCAATTTTTCATCTAAAATGGTTTGAGACAAGACAACCTTGGTATTAGAGCGGTCGAAATGTGTCCCTCGCACCGGTCCACAAGCCTTATATTTAACATCGATTGAACTGAAAAAAACTTTTAAAAAATGGTAGTTTTTCATTACACCTATATACAATACAATAGAGGAATTCCTGAAAATTGTAAAATATCTTTGAATTTATTTGGAAGTGTATCTTCAAATATACAAAATATTATTTTTGATAAATATAATTTAACGATATATCTCCGAATAAATTTAAGGTAAATTAGCAGATATATCTCCAAAATATTAGTTCGGAAATACATATCTGAATTCTTATTTGAATGTTTCTTTTATAGAAACATTATAATCAGATTGGAGTTTTTTCAATCGAACATAATTTTAATTCGATTAACATTGTCATTATTTGTTTCAAAGATTAATAAACACGAATATCATATAAAATAGTAATGCATTAATTAATCAAAAATATTATAATAGTACAAAAATTATTCTTCAAGTCACCGAAAATTATACAAAATACAATCAAAAACATAATCTACTGAATATGTATAACCTTAACACCTCGGCTCCTCCTCTGCCTACGGTAACCCAAGGTATTTCATGCCTCGGTAAGAATCGAACGTGCAAGGTCAATCACTTCATCGCCTCCTCTCTCAAACAGCTCAGACACGATGTCCTTTCATGTCATCTGTATAATGTTCTGACAGATCGATAAGACATCAATGACATGATCATTCATGGCCTACTCATTCTCCAGGATCTCCTCATAATCAAGCCTAGGTGAACGTCTAGGAACGTCTGGTGTCATGTAAGGGTGTGACACAAAATAAAATCAAGTCATGTAACCCTCAACATAACTCCACTCAAGCGTGGCTTGTTGACTCTGATACTCCTCCTGTACCAGACGACTCTCAAAATCTGTCAGAATGTCATTCAGTCGTATGCGGACAATGCTGACAAGAGCAGCCTAAAGGGAGAATGTCGAAATGATCTACATGTACCTAAACTGTCGCATGCACCACTCTGACAGATACCTTCACGTGATATTAGTCCCACATGCTAGCCAACTAGAGTATGATGAAATATGTTCAAATGAAATAGTGTCCCAGTGAGTAGTATTTGGCATTCAGACGTCGTCATGTTGAGTCTGGTCAGTATACACACAGAACGACACCACAACATCATTCCCTCTGCACGAGAGGAACAAACAAACATGTGGGTAATCCTCGGTATATTGAGAGTAACCTTCAAGTCATTTGCGAGAGGAACAAACAAACATGGGACTCTTGCTAACCGCGACATTTGCGACAAAATACAAAACCTTCAAGTCAGTTCTCCCACTGTATCACATCATCTATGTTTAAACTTAATTGGGATAACGAGGCTCCCCAGATCACCATTGAACGAATGGACGAACCAGCACACTGTCACGAGATTAATACTGAAGAAGTAGTGGGTCAGCCTTGGTTTCAAGAAGTCAAAAGGTATCTCGAGGCTCAAGAATATCCAGAAGGAGCTTCAATCAATGATAAAAAGTTCCTAAGAAGATTCTCCGCTAAGTTCTTCCTAAGTAATGGCATCCTGTACAAACGTAATCATGATTCTATTCTGCTCCGTTGTGTGGATAAGATTGAAGCTGAAAAGATCATGGCTGAATTACATGAAGGTACATATGGCACTCACTCTAGTGGGCATACGATGGCGAAGAAAATCCTGCGGGCAGGCTATCATCTAACGTAACAGTCATCTTTCTAATGGGAAGGTGGGAATATGACGTTTCATTATGCCACCTCATAGTAAATGCAACCTGCATGCCATGGCTGATGACGTTGTACCCAGAAGTGCAAAGACCCGCAAGACCAGAGTTCCAGAGTGCACTTTGGAACCACTCATCTTGAGGCTGAAAAAGATTGTGAATCTTTCTAGCATGGTTCACAAATTTCAGACACTCACATTCCTGTTGAAAATATTCGAGTTGGATTTAGTTAAAATATAAAAAATAGAACCGTTAAAAAATATACATCTCCATCCCAGATATGCGGAGCCACTGTTTACAGTGATTTCTGGTAAACAACCGCTAGTCCTCCAAACTATCGAATAAACTTACTGATTGTTATTCAATTTCTCTGGTAACTCGCAGGATCGACTAGATTGATCCTAGGACGTGTTGGTTATTAGGATAACTCTCATGATCGAACTGGTATTCATGGTTGGTATTTAGAATGTTGTGTAGGTGTTTAACTTATTTCGATTTCTCTATTAAAGATCTAAAGGTGTGATCAAATAAATGTGCGCGAAACTAAATTGCATGAATAAAGGTCAATTGTAAAGACATGTAAAAACTGCATAAAAGACAAATAAATGACTTTGAATCATAAAAACGGTTAATGTAAAAGATTCGAAATATGAAGAAAGCGTTTAAATGCAAGAAAACTGTAAAATGGCTTTAAGTGAAAAAGGTGTTCGAATGATAAAAACTTGAAGATAAAGGCATGAAATGTATAACAGTTTCTGAAATGTAAAGTATTTGAAATGGAAAGAAAACATTTAAATGTAAGGCATCAGTGAAAAGATTTCGAATGAAAACACTTTAAATGCAAAAACTTGTAAATGGTATTGACATAAAGATAAAGGAAAGTACTGGAAATGATAAAGAGTTTTCATTAAATCATAAACATGTGGTGTTATCATACGTACATTGCTCTTGCATTCGTTTCCCTAGCCATGTGGTAATTTGAATGTTTACTGAGTTTTTTTGTACAATATATATGACACACGAAATCTTAATGCTAAGACTTCTATTTATACTACTTCGACCATAACGGTCTTGCTATAAGATTCTGCCACGTTCAGAACATGCAGAGCAATGCTTCTCTCTTGCTTCCACGCGTCTTCGAATGCTCCAGCGCATATATTTCAAATTTCGAACATCCCGCTTGCATTTGAATTTCAAATGTTTTGGCACTTCTTCGCTTCGAACGCATTTCTTAGACACAACCTTGTTATCATTTCGAGACTTCTTTGGATATATTCTCATAACTGTCACTCGAAGCTCCAAGCTTTGATATGCCCATTCGAAGCACTGCTTCTACCATTTCGAAACATGACGTTTTGTTTCATTTCAATCGAAACGTCCAATTTACTTTGCTTCTAATAATATCATCAAAATCTTCAGCCAACAAAATGCCCCTTTAAAATATGTATTTCGATTCCTTTGAGAAATACTTATTTTAAACATATACACAAGATTTTGATGCGAACTTCGAATCATCGTAACATTTATTGCATATGACTCCAGTCACGTCAATCATAACGCTTTTCAGATTCCTTAACCGCCTTGAACCATTTCACAGTATGGTGCAGTTACAAAACAATGATTGTCTTTAATCACGCCTATTACCAATGTTAACTTTACGCCACCTCTTCATCAAACCAACCCACGATTTACCACGTATCACAACCTTACTCAGTGGATGCTTAAACTTCCACATTATAAAAACCCATCAACTTAGTCTTTTCTTTTCTTCCCACATTCTGAATCTTTTCTCCTTCTTTTCTCACCGAAACCCTAAGCTTTCAACAT